TTAATCAGAAATACGTTAAAGGTTTACAAAACATGAAATAGGTAATAGAATAAATTGGAAATTAAAAATTCGGACTTCTAGTTGCCCATGTTCGGACGGAAGTTAAAATTATTCAAAATTTGATGGCTTTAGGTACCGTCGTTTTTTCACAATGCGAGAAATATACATACATTCATATAAATTCTTCAGTATTTAATTTTTTTAAGTATTATACAGGGTGATAATATTTTGTGGCAACAATCTGAAAAGTGATTCCGCCGTTTATGGTGATTCAATGCAAAATTCCGTTTTTAAGACTAAAAGCCCATATGAGCTATCGCTCCTTTGGGCTAATAAAAGGTTTATATTCAAATGTAGCGCGGAAGGTAGTTCGCAGTTCCCTTTATATAATGGATTTGAAACTTGTAAGTCATTCAAATTATTTACGTTTTTACGGTTTTTTAAATTTAATTCCATTTTGTACAATTGTAATAATTTGAGAAACAAAACTAAATGTTTGGTTTTTCTTTTATAAATGTTGAAAAGATTATTTGTAGCAATATCACTTGCGCCCATCTCGAGCCATTGTAAATCATGCGATGATGAAAAAATTTTGTCCGATATAAATGCACGGTAAACAAGAAGGTAGATTAGTTGTAGGCTTAGTTTAACTTTCATATGCCGTAGTATGGAGTCTGCTACGGCATAAGTTCTTAACTGCAATGCAGTTTAACGAAAGCTGTTTATTCATGCTAAAATGAAGTTTACATTTTTTCATGCCAACTAATAAGTGGAATTTAATGATGGACGAAACACTGAATAGTGTAATATGCGAAATAAAAATAAATTAGATCTTAATAAACTGTTGATAATATTTGTGGAGGTTAGATGGAGTAAGCATGACGTCACAAAATTGAAGCCAAGGAAATGTTAACAACGTGATGTTAGTCTTATCATGGTGGCCATACAGCGTATGGATAAGACTACAAAACCTATTGTTAAATAAAGTTACACTGAATTTGAAAGCACATATCAACCGTAGGTTCAGGAAAGTGTTTTTAGGCACAATGTGCGTAAAATACCATTGAAACTTCCAGAGATCTTCCAGTTTTTACCATGTAGCTATTTGTCTTATAGTCGCCATTTACACATTTTAATCTAGCTAGATTTTAGTAAATTTGAAAATGTTATTTGCGATCCTTGTGATTTTCTACATACTAAGAAGAAGATCTTTAAAGATAAGTGGCAGCGACTATGGTAAGTAGAGACGTCATACCGTGACGTTCCATGACTTCTTTTTCATTGAACGGTACATACGTAGAATCTGTTCTAACCTCCATAATAAAAATAATACTAATTTCAACTTTGCATCTTTTTATAGAACTCGACACAAAACTGTAAAATGCTTTGTTCCGAAATCGTACTCAAAAATTATAAAATAAGGTTCGATTAATTCATTGAGCCCTAAGGGACAGTGTCCTTTCAAGGGTCCCCAGCACACACTTTCCTGGTTTTCATGAGAAAAAAATAGAGATGCCTAGTGGCGGTTACCTGAAACCTGGGTTCTATCCTTGAGCCTTATAGATGGAACCGCATTCAGGTTTTTCTCTGAAAGTCTCATTGCTCAAATCACGCTAATCTAAATAGATTTGATGTTACTCGTATTTCACCGAATTTTAAAATGCACATGACCCGAAAATTTGGGGACCGTCATTCTAATTGCGAAATTCCGTAGTTTAAAAGATTTCTTTGGGTTTTGCATTCACTTCCCAGATAAAATACTGCTTGCCAAAGAGCACATTATTTGTGCTGCACTCTACCGACAGAAGAGATAGAACTGGAAGATTAAACCATCAGAAAGAGAGTGTATGTATATGCATTATAGATAAAGACCGTAACTCATTTCCAACCCCTCCTTAACAGTGTTTATCTTGAGCAAAAATATCCCCTTTTGGTGATAAAAATTCTCGCTGTTCTCACCGTCTGGGGCCAAAACAGGAAATTCCAGTTTCATGTACATATATATATATATATTCGGTTTATGTCGGAGAGATAAATATTTATTTTTAGAGCTAAGAGCTTAATTACCTTTATGCGATATAAATTTAGTCATTCAGATGTATTTTTAAACTAGTAAAGAAAGAAATGTACTACATTTACAAGGTATTACTCCCTCCTTTCCACATGTTTTTGTTCTCTAACTGAAGACATTAGACGCGTATTCAGGAGGTCTGGAGTTCAAATCCCAGCGAGGGTATTGCATTTTTTTCACGTTCCTTCATTGGTGTATTCCTCAGCACACTTTTCTTTTCATGGCAGGCACTATCCATTTTAGACTTTCGCCACTACTAAGGACAACAGCGGTGGTCATTTTATTATGGAGACATCTAATATGCGACCACCATTACCTCCTATGAAAAGAAAGACAATTTACGTCCATGCCTTCGCCGGGATTTGAACCTGGGCCCTTTGGTATCGCAGTTATCTTCTCTAACCACTATACCGTCTGGGCGGCGACTCTACACATTGGTTTCATTTTTAGAGGATTTATTATTTGCCATAAATCAAGTACCTTTGCTCTGTTTTTCTTACACAAACGTTAAAATATTAAATTCGCGATCCTACTTCAAGATCTAAACGCAGCGAGTAGATTAAAAATTCAGACGTATGAATTTTATTTAATTTCGTCCGAAGGTCCACAGGACTAAGCAGAACTACTAAGCAGATACAGTGAGAACATAACTCATTTCCGCTTGATACTGGTAATAATGATACAAACAGAATCAATACATCATGGCTATTACACTGCGGCGTTATAGACAAAACCTGAAAGTATTCAATTAGTACATTCAGCTAGGAGCTTATATATCAAGAGTTCAATTTCCAGTGAGAGCACATTTTCAGAATTCGAGATTTCTGTCTCTTTATGTCATATACGTAGACATGAGCTTGGAGAAACTGATGATTGTACAGAACAAATTTCCGAATACAGTTTAAATTCAGCTGGAACCGAGCCCCGGTGTTTCTTACTTTTATTAATGATAAGTGAAATCTTAATCCCAGTAGAAGCCCGCCAAAGTCTCAAATGAGCTCGAAAATTTTGCTGTAACTGACTCTCAGTATTAGTAGAAAAAATTCCCTTATTAATACAGCAGTAGTTTCAGTAAAAATAGTACTGATACTGTCTGATGAATGGCCCATTAGCGGCCGAGCGGTAAAGTCGCTGAACACTGTTAGTTCGGTCCGAGGTTCCAATCCCGCGAAAGGGCTGGCTGCATGGGCGTTTTCGTGGTTTTCCCCATGTGTAACGTGTATACGAGCCAGTTTCCCTTAGAAAGTCCTCCACGAAGGCATCCGTCCCCTTAGGCAGATAGCCCTAGTGGGCTTTGCCATAATTAAGTACACCAACACCGTCTGATGAATGCATGCTTCGCTCTTGGGAGAAGCAAAATCAGAAGAAATTTATTAAATTATCTCAAAGTAAACCGGGGTTATCTGTATGAGAAGAGACATGCTTTTGTGGGTGAATTTAGAGGGAAAATTATCTGGCATTCAGGTTACACATGGAGAAGACACAAAAAAACAATACGATGGAAAACTCGAGCATTTGAGAAGACACCCCGCACCTTAAGTGCAAGCACTTCGGGATGTGTCATTTGATGAGTCAAGAAGGCCTTAAATATTATATTAGCATCTAAAATAAAGTTGCGATTTTATATAACTGCAAAAAATACTGTGTAGAGCCATTACATCTTTTTTGAAGCAGGAAAAGTGAAAAAAGTCCTCTCCGGGACTCGTACTCTGAACCTCTCGATAGGCGGCGAGTATGCTTCTAATTTCACCACGAAGGCATGCGGAATGGAGGGAGAAATACATTATACATTTCCCTTTTAAACAGCGACTGGGCTTAGGGGACCCAATCACCAAATCCTGGTGTTAACGAATCATCGTTCACCACTTGTAGAATTTTAGATTATTTTGAAGTAGGTGACGTGAAAATTTGCAGTGCCCTCCTAAGGACTCGAACGCTGGACCTTTTGGATACGCGCCGAGTGTGTTTCCATTTATATCATGAAGGCAAGGCTTGCGGAAAGAAGGGAGAAAATACCTTGTAACTGTTTCAAATATTTTTCAAAAATTCTTGGAACGCGTCAGAAAGGAATTCGCCAATGTTTCTTTTAACCTCGACAGTGTCTTGTTATCATTAATTTACTCACTTTTTGTTTAGTTTATCAATTCATTTAATTTTTCTATATATTATTTTAATAATTTAAGTTATTGATATTTTATTCGTTTTCTTACATTTTATGTAATCTGAATTATTTTATATCATTCACTCGCAGGGTTCCGGCACTTCTAATTTTAAAAATTAAGTGCGAATGATAAAAGACGAAAATGATCCTTAAAACAGTGAGACATGTTAACTAATTACAGCTAAATGCAGAATTTTTTGCCTTTTTGGCCGATAAAATTAAGAAAAGAGATCTCTGACTTTCCTTTTTGCTTTGTAAACAGAGGTGTTTCGTGCAAATTAATAATGAAATCTTTATTTAAACACGCATTGAGTTATATTTTAATATGTCATTTGTAGCGTTAATTCACTAGAATATCTTAATGATCGAATTATTGAGATAAAATAAAATTGATACCCATTATATAATTTATATACCTTGTCAAAATCACTTTACAGTGTTTATGTCTTTCATAAAGAATCACATTCCCCCTGCATGTGTTCGTGGTGTAACTGCGGTTCCCCCTGCGTGCTTCCACTGTGTATGTGGGGCAGAGATGAGCGTAGAGTATTTTTCATGTTTCCTACTCCGAAACTCCTAATAGTTTCTCCCATTTTGTTACACATTTAAATATAGAAATAAAAATAATAAATAGAATTCCTGTGTCCGATGCCTTTCGAAAAGAATCGCGAAATTCAGGAGATTTACGATTTGAAATTTAGCAGGTGAGCACCATGTGATTTACAAATATTCGCCATTGCACTCAAAATAAAAAAATTTGCCACTTACCACGAGAAAAATGATTTGAAATCGAAATTGTAAGAACCGTCAAGTTTTGAAAATTTGAGATATCTTAGGTGATCCATCATCCACGCTGGTATCATGTGCTTAGTCACCATGTCTATCTGAAAGACAAATCATCCCACATTTTACTATAAAATGATCAATTTTACGAGTTTTTAACTGCATTTTTTTTTCTTTAATGCACCTCTCTGATTTCATCACTGAGTCTTACGAATTTTAGTTTTTAAAGAACAAAAATCCACATGGTAAACATAAGAACTTATTATAACTGAAATTATTCATTTCCAAAAGATATTATAATATATATGTAATAACTATAACACAGCAGTTTGAAAGTTTCTTCTCTATCCATTATTATTATTTATATATTAATCCCTTGTTAATCTTAAAAATTTGATTTTATGTTAGAATATGTAAATCCCATCCATAGACTACTAGGCTTAAAAAAGCTGAGCGTAAGGCATTCATACTATTTTTGTTGTTGTCGTTGTTGTCTTGTCTATGCATTTCATAGATGAATGGTTGCCAGAGCCTCAAGGAAGTTGGACTTCTACTTCCACCCCAATTTTGAGGAAGAGCACACCGGGGGAGCCCAAGGGTCTCCCAACTCTCTTCCCTACCACCAAACCACAGGAGAGGACATTCGGCTTTTCATGTATTTAGAGTACCCCTATGCTACAAAGACACTAGACATTTACAAACATCCATGCCTTCTCCGGGTTACGAATCCGGGACCTTCGGTACAGCAGTAGGGCCTCCCTTAATCACTATATCGTCTGGGCGGCATACTGTGTTTGTAAATATATGTTATTCATTCCAACAGCATATGAATAAGAAAACACTGCTTCAGTATTACACTGATGATCGCTGCAGACATCTTCTGTCCGGATTGTAGAATTAACTTCATCCAACCCTCTTCTAATTATAGCTACTTAATAATGGACTCATATAGTTTTTTTTTTTTTTTTTTTACCTTGAAATGTATCGACTGGATATGCTCTATAAGTATGATAGTTTCCTCAAATGCAAGCAAGAGGAAACGAGCTCAACTACAAAGAAAGCTACTAATTTTCTGACGAAGTCCAAACGCTTTTGGAAGCAAATTCAATTTATATTCTTTAATATTATGCAAGTTATTGGTTTTGTTTCTTTATTATTTCTTCGGTAAACTGACACGCTCTTTATAATTAAGGCCTACGTGTATGCCTGGAGGATGCAACGGGTAATTTAACCCTCTTGACTACTAACGGGACATATCCCACTAAACGTTTGAAAATTGCTGCTGGATCAAAAGTACTTAGAATATCCAGAATGTTGGGCATCATCTTCCAATAGTTGCAAAATCAAGACGCCGCCGTGCTCGTTGTACCAAATGAACATAAAGAAAAGAACAAACATGAGTTGCCCGATGTGTAAGGTTGGGTTATGCAAAGAATGCTTTACCCTGTACCATACGATGCAAAATCTATTCCATATAAAAGTTGTCCAACATAATAGGTGTGCTTATAGTAAGTCGATCACTACGTGTAGAACAAATGTAGCCCACCATTCACTTCGGCTGTGACATATTTTTACGAGCTTTTGGCTTGAAAACATTTCGTCAAAGACATCCCAAATGCTAATTTAGCTTACTTATGACATATTTTGTTCACTTGGATAGAAAACTGTATAATTTGTTTTTTTTTTTTTTAAATTCGTAATCAAAGGGTTAAATCATCTTACACTGGAGCGCGTCAGAAAAGAATTCACTTTTGCATCTTGACATCTTCAGAGTGCAATATTAGAAAACATTCCCGTGAGCTTAAACGGAAGAAACGTCCCATTGATTTATTAAACGAATTAAATTTATATAGCACTAGCCAAAGCAATGCAATAACTTCATGCTCATTTTCTTTTTCTCAATTAAAAAAAATAAAACAGGCTTAAAGAGTTCAAGTTTTTTTTTTACGTGGTATTTGTTCTTCAGTTTTGAGTCCTTAGAGAAGCAGTATCTACACCTGCCATTTGTAGTAACATTTTCCCTCTGTATTTTCCTTCGGGAAATATAAATAAAGCGATAAATCTCTGTAGGCATCAGAATCAAGACTTTTCCTACTTGATACCACCGATAACGTCCTTTTTTCCCTTTCTGTTCTCTTATCATTGGCTAATACATCTTCTACGTCATCTGGAGGGGAATCAAATTTGATAGTGCCATGTGCTAACTGCCCACGATCACGTGAAGTTTTACAGCCCGAGAACTGAGATACGAAACGTAAGAAACGTATTCGACACTACACTTTCAGCATCTTTCGGGTGCGGCAGCAAGCAGTTAGGGGATGTTATTATTTTCAAGTTAACGCATAAAGTACATTAGGTTAAAAAATGGGAGGAACGAAAAATTACGTAAGTATTGAATAATTTAAGCTCATAAATTAATTACAATTTACAGCCTTCAATTTTGGATTATTCGCAAATTAAACTTTTTTTTATATAATTTCATTTTAGTATATTTAAGATTGTTAGACATGCGCCTACAAAGAGGTTTCCCACTTTTCCAAAAAAATTTTCATCTCTTAGGAAAAACCTGAAATTATTCTCTAGGAAAAACCTGAGTATTTTTAAAAAATATATAAAGATAATTTATCATATTATTATATTATTATCCTAAAGGGCGTTAGTCCAGAAGGGCTATTAATTTCGTTTTGACATTTTGCGTTGATTCACTTTTCAGACTGTTGCCACCAAATTTTACAGTGTATTTTATTCAAAGAAATTAAATCATTCAGAATCTCCATAAATTTATGTAATTTTCTCGTATTGTGATAAAACAACGGTACCTAGAGCCATCACATTTTGAACAGCGTAATCCTTTACCGAATATGGACGCCTGGAAGCCCTAATTTGGAATTTATTTTACGCTCTATTTCATATTTTGGTAGACTCAAGATTTTGGTAGATTTTTAATTATCAAACTCAACGGTTTCAAAGCGAGGAATGGCAACACTGTACGGAAAAAAAAATTAGCTCCAGCGCTAGATTGTGTATCGCAAAATTCTAAAGCTATTGAGACATTTGAAAATTATTTTGCGATATTCCTGTTGAATTGAATTTTATGGTTTAAGTGCGAGGAACATGTTATTTGAAAAATAAATGTAACATAAAAAAAAAAAAAAAAAAAAAAAAAAAAAAAAAAAAACGTTAAAAAAAGCATCTTTGGCCGTAATGTAAAATCTGAATGATTTCAGATTTTTTTTGAAAATCTTATCTTCTCCCGGCAGGGCATTCAAAATTGCCATTGCGTTTAATTCATTACTACCATATATAGCCATGAGCATTTGGTATAATTACTATTTAAACACTAAATCTAAAAATGAATAAATTATTGGTGATTTGATAAATATTATTACGGGCTAATGATTTTACTCTGACGAAACGAAGGCCTTATGAATAAATATTTTAAAATTTTGATGAGAAATTTCATTCAAAAATGTTTATTCTGATTTTTAAATACTCTTGAAGAAGTGTATGTAACAAACTGTAGTTAAACATCGTTAACTATATTTTAAGAAATATTTTAGCCTTTTGTAATGGAATATTACAAACACTTTCCCCCTTTTTTCGTAGATTATCTATGAAATTTTCCATCTATTTGTAATAATCTTGCAGCTGTCAAACATTCCGATAAGCTTCAGAAAAGGAAGATCTGTGAAAGCGCAGTTTTAAATATCTAGGTAAATAAAAATAAAAATGTGTGAAAAGAGATTAAAAAAGAAATGCATGGGAAGTATGAAAAAGATAGTATTATTCCTTACTTTCTTTTATCAGCTTTTATATCAGTTTCTTTTATATTCACGGAAGCATACACTCTTTTTCCTTATAAGATGATCCTGATAAGCTTTAAGAAAAGATAAATCCCCTTAGCAGCAAAGGATAAGCATTTATTCTTACTTAGTCCTATGTTACCCAAATGAGCTTTCCGTTGAGATTCCTTTATTACATTTCCACATGGAGTTGGTATTATAAAATATTTATCTTCACACGAAACAATTAATATAGAATTAAAGTTATAGATAAATAAATCACTTGTAATTAAGTAATAATTCAATATAATTATCTTCCTTCTGTAACTGACTTACCATATTAAGTAATATTTCCGTCAAAAAATTATTTCCTTACATAATCTTTTTCATAAAATAAATTACTTTTATGAGTAAAATTAAACTGATAACATTTTTTTTATTAAATAAACAGCTATTACTAAAGTAACAACTAAATTATATATTTTTAATCGATGGAGATTTCGAAAAATGACTTCTGCACAGAATATTTCCTAAATTATCTGGAAATGTTTTGCATTTTCGTCTCATTGCCACACCGACATGTGTAATATCGTTTATTTTGCTCTTTCATTACTTAAAGTTTAGAACCCTTATCCTTCAGATAAATATTTTAGTTTATATATGCGGTTTCCCCCCAAATCCAAAGAAATTTAAGCGATAATGTGTTATATTTGAAAATTTAATGTCCTTTGGAGAGTATCTTCCAAACAGCTCGCTTTACTACAGGTCTAAACTGATAAAGTTTTTCTTAAGCTGTTTGTGCGGTTCCTTGGAGTTTTAAAAGTTATTTACGGCTGTGTATTTTAGAAGAAAATTAGAATTAATGTGCATTAGAATTCAGATAGTTTAACTATATTAGGTGCATGATGCTTCATCTCGTTAAGTGAAAATACATAAGAGAAAATGACAATGCTATAAACCTTCTCTAAGACTTCTTTTTTTAACCTATGTTCCCGACAGATTTGTTCTTTTAAGGGGGAGGTCATTTTAAGGAAGCTGATATTCAGTAATGCCCCATTAATTTGCATCATGGATTTACCCTATCAAAGGTTTTTCAAGATTTCTGAGTGATTGGTCTGTTTATTAATACCGTTAATAAGGAAGCGAATTAATTATAATGGAATTAGCGAATACAGGAGCAAAATTAAATAACAAACTATTTTATTAAAGTGACGGAAGTCCAATCGAGCATCTATATCTTTAATTCCACGCCAGATGATCAGTGGCACTAATAAGAACAGTGATGAAAACAAACCTTTTATTTTCACAAACCTTTGCAA